CATACTCTGCCTTCTCCCTCTGGCTAGACTGTCATCTCCATGGAGGAGCCCCGGGTAATCATGACTATGGAGGAACAAGAAAACAGCCTGTTGCTAAACACAGGTGCAAGTCTCTCAGTCCTTCTTTTCAATCCTGGCCTTCCTTCCAGCCGTCACACTTCAGTGAAAGTAGTCACTGGTGAGGAGGTAATTCACTACTTTTCACAACCCTTAGGCTTGTTAGATCCTTCTTGCGTATCTCTGTCTTCCTGAGAAACCACTTTGAAGATACCACCATGTATTACAGCAGCCATTGATATTTTCCTACTAATCTATCCATAACTCTATAATGTTTGTATTGTTCCTATCCTATTTCATAAATGGATGCATGTTTATTATTATGTGTTTCCTACAACAACCATTCAGAATAGTTAATGATTATTCAATTGGTCACTCATGTATAGCTCTATTTATTTTCTTTAGAAGCCACTTTGAAGATACCAAAGTACAGTACAACGACTATTGATAATCTCCTACCCCTTTTGTCTGTAACTCACTATTATTTGTCTATTTGTTTTCCTGAGAAACTATCTTGTAGATAACAATATGTAAAACAACAACCATTGATAATTTCCTACCACTTTGTCTGTAATTTGGTAAGCCCCCCCTATTATTATGTTATCCTTCTTTTACTCTTTAAAATAAAAATTTAAAAAAAAAAAAAAAAAACAACAAGCATCTACCACAGATATGACTTGAGCAGGCAGCAGCACTGTGCCTTCAACTGACCGCATACGCAGCGGAGGCCAGGTCACAGGCCAAGGCGCGCAAGCCTACACTGAGGCTGGGCTCCTGCCGGCTCCGGCTCCAGCTCCAGCTCAGGCCGCTGTCGCAGGCCCATCTGGCCCCAGAGTCGTGGCTGCCAGCTGTGCAAGTGGTGGAAATGCTCCCTCCTTACTGATTCGGTGCAAAAAACAAAGTATAGTAACAGCAGGCAGAATTCTTGCATCCCAAACCTAAGTCACGACCACACTCTGCTCCTCATCACCTGCTCTCAGAACTCACTCCTCCACAGCACAGAACATGTGGATGGATTTCTACTTCTTCTGTTATTTTATGGAGGTGCGTATACATGTGTATGCTGGATGCAAACCCAGGGCTTTCACTGAGCTGCACCTCCTGCTCCAACTGTTCTTTATCTGTACTCCACTTTTGCCTTAGCTATAAAATACTTCATGGCACTGCCGGGTGTGGTGGTGCACACCTGTAACCACCGTACTTAGAAGGCTGAGGCAGGAGGATTACTGCGAGTTCAAGGCCAGCCTGGGCTACCTAGTGAGTTCAAGGCCAGACTGAATTACATAGTGAGATCCTGTCTCAAAAAACCAAAAAAAGAAAGATTTTAAAAAACTAACAGCTCCAACAGTTCATCCTCACACCCACAACAGACACGTGACTGATACCCTGCACACATACTAGAAATCACAGAGTAAGCACTACAGAGGACACAAGTCAATCTGGTCCTCCTTTCGTAGTTATGAATGCTTCCCAGGAATCCTCCGATCTTGAAAAAGACAAAAGTATGAAAAAGAACTGATTCCTGGCACCTGTGCTTTTAACCACTTAAGTTCAAAGCCAGCCAAGGCAACTTAGGAAGAGCCTGACTCAAAATACAAAATAAATAAAAAAGGCTGGAGATGTAGCTTGCAGGAGAGTGCTTGCCTAATGTGGGCGGACCCTGGGTTCAATCCCTAATGCTGCAAAAGAAAAGAAATAAAGAGGAAGAGAAAGACCGTTCTGTGAAGCAGAAGAGAATTTTAAAGGATCAATTTCAAAGGTAACTGATACTAAAAAGACTGTGGAGGCGCCCTCCATTTAGGAACCTTCCATTCTTCCTCAACAAACCCTAAAAATCTACAGTGTGACAACTATTTTTTGTTACATGTTGGAATAGCAGATGGGGAAAACTGGAGAGGGTATGACAAGAAAAGACAAAGTTCTTAGAAATTAAAAACACAGTTACTAGCCAGGCACAGTAGCACATGCCTGTAATCCCAGCAGTTTAAGGCCAGCCTGAATTACACAGCACAACCTTGTCCCAAACAAAACACAACAACAAAAGCACAGTTACCAGAATAAAAGGTTGAATAGAGCTGGGCATGGTGGCACATACCTAAAATCCCCACACTTGGGAGGCTGCCCTGAGTTTGAGGCCAGCCTGGACTACACAGCAAAAGTGGAAAAGAGGAGGTGGGGGGACAAAGGGAGGAGAGGGAAGGGGAGGGGAGGAGAAGGGAAAAGAGGAGTTGTGAGCGGTGGGAATACCAAATCTATTCAATCACGTCTAATAGAAAGTAGGGAGTGCAGCAGACACACTGCTAGTTTGTCACCTAATGTCACTCCTCTCTCTTCCTTGCTGACAGACTCCTAATTCGGGGGCTAAGGATTTAGCTCAGTGGTAGAATACTCGTCTAGCAAGCGAGAGGACCTGGGTCTGGTCCCCCTCATCAAAAACCTAAAAAACAAAGACAAAACAAACAAACAAACAGAACCTGTCACAAATGGCAATGTGCCAGATGAAAATCTGTTTTCTACACTTCCTCATCCGATGTAAGCAGAAACTGTCGGAAACCTCAGAGAAACCTCTGCTTTCCTGACACAGGCAGTATCCCCTCTTCTCCGTATGGCTTCCTCGTTCTCCTTGCTAAAGAATGCAGACGTGGGGCTGGGGGTTTAGCTGGGGCTAGGGATTTAGCTCAGCGGCAAAGCGCCTGCCCGGCAAGGGTAAGGTCATGAGTTCAATTTCCGGTACCAGAAGAAAAACAACAACAACAAAAAAAGAATGCACATGTGGGGTTAGTGCTGCCGCAGTCAGCTTTGCCACGAGAAAAAAGCCTCTGCCTTCACAGTGTAGGGAGACCAGGTCAGTGCCAGCAACTACTTAGCAGGACTTCTGTCTCACGCTGGAAAACAAATCCCTAACTTGTACAACCAACGTTGAAGTCTAAGTATCTGCTGCAATTACGTACAACCTCCCACTGATATACAGACAGTGAAAGCCAGGCATGGTGACACATGCCTGTGTCCCAGCTCCTGGGAGGCTGAGACAGAAGAATGAATGAGTGAATGAATGAATGGATGAACAAATGAACGAACAAACAAACGAATGAACACACACCGCCCTGAGACAATGGAGGCCGGTACAAAATCAAAAAATGACTCCAGGAAAATGCTCACCCAAAGAAAGGCAGGGTTTTAAAGGTGAAATAGCCAACAATGTCAATCAGACTGGGGGAAAAATAAATAAAACAGGACAGCAATTGACAATGGTTTGAGAGCCAGGTGTGGTGGCGCATGCCTGTAATCCCAGCACTCGGGAGGCTGAGGCAGGAGGATCGTTGTGAGTTCGGGGCTGGCCTTGGCTACAAAGTGAGCTCAAAGCCAGCCTCAACTCAAAAAGACAAAAAAAAAAAAAAAAAAAAAAAGATAATGGTTTGGAACTGTAGTGATAAAAATGCGAAAATAAAGGTATTTTGGTATATAAGGACTCTGTTATAATAACAGGAATGCTCTTGGAAGAACTGAATGGTTAACATGCTTTCTGAAAGACAGCTGGTAAGTCCCCTACTCACCCAGTCTTTCCGGTTAAGTCTAGCCGCTTCATTGTACACTTCGATGGCGGCCTTATGTTTTCCCAGAAGAAATCTGAAAGACACATTTTCCCTAATTAGTATCTCAACATTGGTTTTTTGTTTTGTTTTGTTTGCCACAGGGTCTTGATATGTAGTCCAGGCTGGATCTGAACTCATGATCCTCCTGCCTCAGCCTCCTGAGTGCTGGGATTACAGGCATGCACCACCACACTCCACAATCTCAACATTCTTACATGATTCACTCCACCAGTCCCACACTTTCCTGTCTTCCACACAGCGTGGAATTCTCGTGGCTTCTTCCCGGGAGCTGCCATGCAGGAAGCTGGAGCACCCCACCAGGGGAGGAGGCAGAAGTTCTGGCCACAGCAGCTCCTCCCAGGCTTGTCTCATTAAAAGGCAGTTTCAGAGCAAGATGTACTATAAGCATAGTACATCCAAAAATAGGGGCTGAGGATTTAGCTCAGCGGCACAGCGCCTGCCTGACAAGCGTGAGGTCGTGAGTTCAATTCCCGGTATCGGAAAAAAACAAAAAAGAAAAACAAAGAAATAAAAATGGAACCAGCCAAGAGGTAGACCACTGACAACAGCTGCCATCATTTATCTCATCACCCATCAGGGACCCAGCCTTCCTCCCATGTCACTTTTCCCTCCGAGGCTGGATCACGACTTTGGAGAGAAACAAGGGAAGACTGGCTCAAGGGAAAAGAGCACACACAACCGCAAAGTGAATGGCAATGCAGGGAGGAATATGGAGACCAGAACCCCCAGCTCAGCCGCTCCTCCTCTGGAAAGGGAGCAGACTTAGCAGCTCAGGAAGGCTATTTAGAGGTAGTTTCCCAGCAGGAACCTTCAGGGCAGTCACTCAACAAACTCACTAAAAAACCTACTTTGCATAAGGGGTCATGTTAAGTATCAGAATGGCAGATGGTCATGTTAAGTATCAGAATTCTGTGGGCTGCCAAGATAATTCAAAGACTTAAAGCAGACACTGATGCTCCTAAACTGGATCAGTGCTCTTTAATCGAACTAGGGGAAACAGTATTTACAATACTAGTTCATCCCAACCTGGTATGGTGGGGCACACGTATACTCCTGCCACTCAGGAGGCTGAGGCAGGAGAATCGCTGTGAGTTCGAGGCCAGCCTGGGCTACAACGTGAGTTCATAGCCTGAACTGCACAGCGAGACCCTGTCCCAAAAAAGCCAAAAAACAAAACAAAAACCAAAACCCTGGTTGATCTCATTTTTTTCTCAAATGTCAAGACCTCCCACACTCTTCAGAACAAATCAATCCCCCTGTAACCCACAAGCCCCTCCCCGCTGCGCCTCAGCCCCCAGCTCCCAAACTCACAACGACCGCGCGACCTGCTTGAGGTTGTCCACACTCTGGGGGCTGAGAATAGCACACGTCTGAAAGAGCTCCAGGGATTCTTGGATATTCCCTTCCAGACGCAGGATCAGTGCTGCCAGGGACAGAAGGAGAGACAAGGAAGCCGTGGCCCAGCATCAGAAGAATGCAAGAAATCATTTGGCTACAACTGTGTCTCCCACAGATACCACTGTGGACACGTGAAAAGCCAGCAGAGCCTTTCGCAAGCTGAGCTGCTTCCCAGGAATGACCGGCCCTCCCAGCTTGCCACACAGCTCCCGGGTTTCTTTGCAAATGATCACAGAAACTGCACAGAAAGCGGCTGGGGATATGGCTCAGTGGTAGAGTTCTTGTCTTGCATGCACAAGGCCCTGGGTTCGATCCCCAGCACCACAAAAAATTAAAAAAAAAAAAAAAGAAACTACACAGGAAGAGCGGGCAGGGCTTCCCCCTCAGGTGCTCAATTTACTAAGCCAATTCAGACTGCCACACAGTCTGCAGAATGCAGCCGGGGCGGGCCGAGGGGAGCCCACGTCCTAGGCCCAGCTGGGAGCTTCTGGCAAGGATGCACAGCCCCGCATGTTTGAGTTCTCGGCACAGCGACCAACCCGAACCAACGGCTCTTCCTAGGTTTATGTTTTCAGAAGAACTTAGCAGGGACTGAAAGCCTGGAACTTGTGATATTGAAAAACAAAAGCAATGCTTTTGCCAAGATGTCCTACATGTGTTACTATCTTAACAACTGCACCAGGCAATGATGTATTCATCTGAAAACTATAAATGCAATAAATGGTAAACAAAACTATTCACAAATACCAAAGAGTCAAAAAGAGAGTTTCTGCAAAAATTCAGAATGATACTGCTGGCATTAAAGAATAAAATTTAAGCCATGCATGGTAGCACATGCCTGTAACCCTAGCACCTGGAGGCTGAGGCAGGAGGAGTGTAAATGAAGGCCAGCTCCGACTGCACAGTGAGACAAACAAAACAAAATAAGCTTGAGAACACAAGTTCACAGATTTGGTTTCTGAAGAGTTCTTGTCCTCTGTATCATTCTACATATCTACAGGCTGCTTCTCTGCTGCTTCTCTTCTGCCCCAGGCGTCTCAAAACATCCTCAAGACTTTTCTCATTCTGCTTAGTTGGACCCAAAAGGACCCTTCAAAAGCAGCTTCTGGCCTTGAAATTCCTGCATGAGGTAGGAATCCTAAGCATCCATTCAGAAAAATCCTAGCCTGAAACTAAACAGCAGTGAAGGATGGTTTCAATATTTAACTACTTTTACGGTTTAGATCTGGATGTCCCCAAGAGCCTCCTAGGCAGGCCTCTGGAAGGTGAGGCGTTAGGCGGCTCACAGCCCCCTTGCTGTTAGGAGGCGGGGTCTGGTGGGAAGAGGCGGTCCCTGGTGCGTGGCCTGGAGGGTTCAGCTCCCGCCCCTGCTCCGTTCCTCTCTCTCCACTCCCCGCCTGCCAGACCCTGAGCAGTTTCAACCCTCCCTCGCTAAGCCCTGTGCCACGCCACCCTGCCTTGGAGCTCCCGGACCATAGACTGAAACCTCTACAAACCAGGAGACAAATAAACCTCTCCTTACATTGTTAGTGTCTTAGCGACAAGGAAAGTGAGTAGGATGATATTAGTCATTCCTGAAAGCAAATCCAGAAAAAAAAAAAAAAAAATCACGGTCCGATTTAAAAAAATACTAAACAGATCTTTGTGGAGCATTTACTTGAATTTAAGTATTTCAGAAGTTGCTCGGTCTTTTTAAAGAACACAGGCCAAGAATTTTTAGCAAGAAGAGAAGAAACACGAGTCTTACCTTGGACATAGATAGCGTATTCACACAGCCCCTGCGTTTCCCGCAGCTGCTCTTTGATAACGGCCTGAAAGAGGGAAAAATTACCTGAGGAGAGGCTAAGTGTAAGGAAAGGTAGACACGGACAGAGGGCACCTGTGAGAAATCGAGGATACGAACGATGACTAATAAAGCACCTCATTCTTCAAAGCCCCAATTTGTGTGTGATAACTCATTTTAGAACAGGGTTGACAAACTATCGGTTTCACAGGCCACTTTTTACAGCTCTCGAGCGAAGCAGTTTCTAATTTTTATTTATTTATTTATTTATTTGAGACAAGGTCTCACAATGCAATTCAGGCTGGCTTTGAACCCACTATGTAGCCCAGGCTGGCCTCAAACTCACAACAATACTCCTGCCTCAGCCTCCCAAGTGCTGAGAATGCAGGTGTGCACCACCACACCCACCATTATATTTTTAAAAAGTTATAAAGATGATGACCATGGGCCACTGTGTCCTCTCTTGCATGGTGGCCCACCCTCAGGCCGTAGGGCAGTGGTGGTGAACCTATGACATGCGTGCCCCCGCTGGCTATTTGTTACCATTGAAAGCTCCAAAAGGTTTGCCATCACGGCTGTAGGGTGCACTTCTTTTCCTACTTTTACATGGCCCACACTCACTCTGCTGAGCCTGTTTCTTTTCCTACCTTTAATAAAACTTTGCTACTATTAAAAAAAAGATGCTGATTATCAAATAAAATACTATATGTGGCTTATAAATTTGCAACTATTTACTGTCTGGCCCACTGAAGAAAACATTGCTAAAGTCTACCCTGGTAAGCTAGAAAAGCCCGAGATCTTCAGGCCATCACAGATGTTAGAAGTTCTCTGATGAGCAAAACGCAGGCTCTGTCTTTCTACAGAGGGCTGAGGCCAGGCTGCTACTGGAGAACTGGGGAAGGCTCTCCTGAGGAAGCAGCTCCAAACTCTAAATTGGCACAGAGTGGAAATGAAGCTGAGGTAGCCAAGAGATTCCGAGCAAGAGGAATGACAAATGCCATCCTAAAAGCTTGAGTATAACGGGGAAAATGCTGATAAATTTTAAGGAGGGAGGAGCCCAATCCTATTTGCTATAAAGAAAAACCACTTTTATTAAACTGGACATGGGCCAGGCATGGTGGCCCACGCCTATAATCCCAGCACTCGGGAGGCTGAGGAAGGAGGATCTTTGCGAGTTGAGGCCAGCCTGGGCTACAAAGTGAGCTCAAGGCCAGCCTGAACTGCACAGTGAGACCCTGTCTCAAAAAGACAAAAAACAAAAATAAGCTGGACATGGTGGTACATGCCTGTAATCCCAGCACCTGGGAAGCTAAGGCAGGAGTTCAAGACCAGCCTGAACTAAATAGAGATCCTGTCTCAAAAAAAAAAAAAACCAGAGGCAGGTGTACTGGTCCAGGCTTGCATTCCCAGCACTAGGGAGGCTGAGGCAGGATGACTGGAGTGAGTTTGAGGCCTGTGATGCATCACTCAAGACCAGCCTGAACTGCACAGTGAGACCTTGTCTCAAAAACAAATACATGCTGGGCATGGTGGCACACACCTGTAATCCCAGTGCTCAGGAGGCTGAGGCAGGAGGATCATTGCGAGTTCAAGGCCAGCCTGGGCTACAAAGTGAGCTCAAGGCCAGCCTGAACTGCACAGCAAGACCCTATCTCAAAAAAGACAAAAATAAATAAAT